TTCTCCACTTGCGAGTTTAGATTAAAATCATCCGACGGAAGGCTTTCGGGGAAACCAATAAAGCAGTAACAGTCACTGGGTCGAGCAGGCAGGGCAGGACTCAGACTCGCCAGTGGATTCCCTCGTGTTCAGACAAGATTAAATCCACTACAATGACTCCAATAAGGTCACTCCAAGCCACAAATGAAATCCACTGAGAGGAGCAGCTTGGGAAACGGATACTCCTGATCCTTTATTGCTGGCTGAAAAATGTTTCTTAATCAGAATCTCAAGTCATCGTCCAACAACTAAATAAGAAGTTGTTGAGACACAACCCTGCCTTCCCTGCAAGAGTACCAAGCAAGCCTTTCTCCCTCCTATCATTGAAACTATGGCCGATGATGTATCTTTGTACCCCAACCCTAAAGTTAGCATCGCCCCGGTTCCACAAAAAGCCAATGGGATTTTTCAATTGGGTTTTGGGTTATTGCAAAAAATAAGCTCTGTGGCAAACGAAACATAATCTTCACAAATGAACTCCAATTTTATGATTTCTGTGTAAATGCGAAGTAAAAAGCTGATGTTAGTCTATAAACTACACCACAGTCACATGAAATTAATGTCACCACCACTAAACTTCCAACTTGTAATTAAATCACGTAATTAAAATCTACAAGATGGAAAGTTTGAGTTAGAATAATTTGCAAGAGTGCGAGTATAAACACGACGGGGCTGTTAAGGCGGACTAGTGAGTAGATCTCCGTGTTTGGCGTGCTGTTTGTCACAGACAACCTCTGTAGTCTCATTTAGCCACTTGTTAGCAACTGCCTTTTTTAAGACATGTAAAAGCTTCACAGATTGGTATTTAGTAACATATTTTATGTTCATTCAGAAAAAACCTATTGACTCTGGGGCGAGGAAACCTGAGGTGCAAAATTGCTAACTCACCTCTCCCACCTTAAAAATATGATTCATGCTTTATTTCATCTCACCTACACCGCTTCAGCCATGAAAACGGGAGGAATCTTGGGTTTGTAAACTGCTTTGGTCACAGAGGGACGGAGAGACAGCAGTGCGGACTTACACTCACACTGAAGTCCTGATCAGTGTAAAGTGACCTGCGTCCCCTGAGGGCATTTCCCGCAAACAATGTAGAGTGTGTTTAAAGATCAGAGCTTGCACTGTCCATCTACAATAAACAAGGCCACTTCAGCTGCTGGTGGACGCTATGCTTCAACCGACCCACAACCTCAACGAGGGTCAAATGCTTTAAGGCTGAATCAGTGGTGGCTGATGTTCCTCATGCAATTACCCATGGGTATTATTACCCTGTGTGTGTATGTGTGTGTGGGCCAGACAGAGTAACAGAGAGATGAATAGAGTCGTCCATCATCTGACGAACAGGCTACCTGCTGAGAACAGAGTTACTACGATCAAAGCCACAAGACACAGAAAGCAGTCATGGAACTGGGAGTATGTGGTGGTGGTTAGTTCAGACGTGCAGTTTATTATTATTATAGCAAACATTCTAAATTAGCAATTCCATTTTAATTAGTCTGCTGACTATTTTCTCCTGAACTGATCATTTGTTTAGTCTATCTATAAAATGTCAAAAAGTAGTGAAAAATGGCCATCACCACTTTGCAGAGCCAGATCTCTGTGTTTTTGTTACCTTACTTTTTATCTCCAGAGGCAGCAGATCCTCTTCCACGAGTCCACCATGTTTAACTGCCATGTTTCTACAGCAGCCCAAAACACCATCATCAGTTGAAAATGAGCCTCAGTCTTTGCTGGACCTTTGTCAGCATGGAGTCTTTGCCATTAACTCTAAGGGTGTGTGTGTGTAAGGTAGTTTGCTGGCTGTGTCTGACCCTTCTTGAACCTTGCTTTTCTTAACCCAGCTTGAACCGTGTTTCCTGTACAAGGCAATGCGTTATCCTTGCTTGAACTGCTTACCCTCTAGACAAAGGCTGTGTTTGTATCTGTACTCAAAATCAGCCCCACTCACAGCGGAGAAGAAAAAATAAAAGAGACAAAACAGGGCCAGGCAGTGAACTCAAGGTTATCTGAGCCTGGTGCCACAATGAGAGCCCCAGTCCTCTTGTTACCATTCTGGCCTCTCGTCTTCTCTCTGGACAGATTAAGGCTGAGCTGTAAGGGTGGAGCGAGCACACACAGCTTTACCCTTTGTCTCTTTTAACAACTACATGGAAGGCATTCTTTAACAGAGGCAAACTGTATGCAAACTGCTGTGTATATGCAATGCCTGTGTTAGGCAGCCTGACACAGGACAATTCTGTGCCAAAGTGGTCAGCCCATGAGGTCAGTTTCAAAGCTCAAGTAAAAAAAGGAGGATTATGTTCTTAGATTGGCTTTACCATCAAAATATATTGCAGTAGGGTTCACTTTAAATGACAAAACATTCAAAGTGACTTAAATCCACAATTCACAGTCGATCAGTAATCCATGTTTCCATCCAATCACATCGCTTTTGTGCGTGGGTGTCCCTTTGGTACAAGCTGTCAGTGCCCCTAATAGTTACAGTAAGACAGCAACACAGATCTGCCGTAACTGCAATATATTGCTTTCTCTTGACTGTGCAACTCTGCAAGACACATGCACATACAAACACACACACACACACACACACTCACAATCAATATAGCCAAGTTCTGTAGGTTCTGTGAGGTGTGAGGGCTGATTCTTTGCCTTGTGTGTTGCTTGTGTTTTACTGACCACCCTGTGACTAATAAGCTGCAGATACCCAGAGTCAACCATCACAAGAAGCCAGGAGAAAACACACACAGAGACACTGAGAAAAACACAAAGACAGGCTGCAGATGAACAGTCACACAAGGACAACGACAAATGGAAACACACAGACAAACAGCATCTATATAGCATTTAGCAGCAGCTCATAAAATAACAGAGGAGCCTCCAGCCAATTTGCCAGATGGAAGGTTCCAATTTGACACAAAAGCCTCATAAGCATGTATCCTGACACACACACACACACACACATATCCAACAACCTAAGGCACAAACTCACAAGCAGAACTGAGGAACACACAAGTCAAACTGGCAACTCATGAGCACTCAGATAAACTAGCACTAAGGAACATCTTCACATGCATAATTAAGACCTAGCAAAGAGCCATATGGGATTTTGGATTAATATGAGATCATCAGCACTGATAATTCAGACTTTGGATTTACATATATAACCAATGCATCTGTTGATATCTACATACTGATAGCATTTCATTTGGAAGTTAAAATTATTCTTTCAATCATGAGAAGAGAAGAATATATAAAGGCAAAGGTAAGAGCACAGTAAGTGACATGACGGGAATCATCTAATGCCTGCAGCACACACAGTCATTCTAGCCAACTGTTGCTCAACAAGTGTTTATTATATTATCTGTAACTATGGGGTGTAGATCTGGATAATTCTACACCTTATTCATCCACTGGGACAGCTCCAAGAGCACAGAAGAGGACAGTGCCTGAGAAGAGAAGGTACAGTAGCACAGTGTTGGTCATGTCTGCACTGGAAACAAGGGAAAAATGCTGGTGTGTGTTGTGTCCACCAGTGTCAGCGTGTGTCTCTCTGGTGCCATTTAGTGTGTTTATTCAGGAAACAATATGGACCCTAAAAGGGACCCATTGAACGAACAAATGTTATGTTACATTCAGTGTTACTTGTTTGTATGCTTTAGCTTTAAAGTGCATTTTCTTCCTCATAAAACCTTCACAAAGCCATTTTTTTTAAATACTTTAAAATCTGTACAGTTTGCATCCATGTTCACTGGCTTGCAGTCTTCTTCCCTGCCTTTGCTGGCACAATGATGCATATCCAGGCCTGTTACTGCTAGCTGCTTTTGTTGCGAAAATACACATACACTGTTCAATGTTTACACTAGGGCTGTATTCAAATCAGAATTGCGAGAGTAGGCTATAATCTTCCACTTTGCAGGGGTAAATTGTACAGCCTGACCTGCGGTTATTCCACCTTGCTGTTACAATGCTGTAGCTAAAAAACAATGTAGTGATCTTTTTACTGATAAAATGGGGTCTGACTTGGGTGCTCGAGCAAAAGGATATTCAGTCCATTTTTCCATACATATTTATTATGTATTAATATTATGTATATTATTTACGTGTTTATTAGTTTTAAAGACTTTCATGTGTTAAATGTGTGTTTCTGTGAAAAATGTTTACTTTGAGCCCAACGTCAAGTCATAGGTGTTGGTCAAAGTAAGCAGAAGAATTAGTGTCTATGTTATTGTAGATGGCAGCTGCAGAGGCGCATACCAAAAAACAGCCTCCAAAACACAAATCACAGATGAGAGGCTGCGTTGGACTGACCTCTCTGCTGAAAAACCAGACCTCACTGCCAATGGTAAAGTTTCTCTCTACAAACAGGAATTTCCCTTGTGATGGGACCCTGGCAAAGATCTCACCGAGTGTTTCTACTCGCACTGGCAAAACCAAAATCTAACATTACAACATTTTACTGGGTGACAGATTTATTCAGACTTAAATATTATTTTAATTATGGCCATTAGTGTTGCTGACATTGTGCTACAGGGACGTTTTATAAAGAGCTAACACAGTATCCTTGTGTGAAAAACAACTGCTCCATTGATTTATATACTGGATAAAATATGGTGAAATATTACCAGTACTTCAAATACATATTCTGATCTTCTTTTATCTGGCATTTCAGTGATGTGTGTCCTCTGCAGGTGGTTTCAGTGATCTTGTGCTTCTGTTTGCAAACACTCTTTCTATAGTGATATGCATCTTGCCAAAGGCATTATCACATAACCTTGTCCACAAGAGAAAAGACAGGGCGTGTGTGTGTGTGTGTGTGTGTGTGTGTGTATGTGTCTGAGTGTGAGAAAGACAGAGTGTGTGTGCATTCATGCATGCATCCATGTGTGATTTTACAACTGTGTGAACAAACTGCCAATGGGGACAGACAGCAGCAGTAGGAGAGAGTTGTATGTCTGGCTTACCAAAGATATTTGTGGAATGTCCTTTCTTGGCGAGGGGCTTCAGCTCGTTGTGACCCCAGCCGTACTGTCTGTAGCTGTCCCATGCGTGCTTCATCATCTGAAAAAAAAAATGACAACAAAGAGTGCGTTAAGAAGATGTGAAGCGCCGAGTAATGATTGTGACGTGAGATAACAAATCCTGCAACTCATGTGATTGCGCCTCCAAATAATGGTTCGGTAACGATGGGTGGATAATGATGTTTAAATCTGCATCATAATTTTACTTTACATTGATGTAATTAGAATCAGACATGATGTGATTTCAGTTACAACAGCTGTTGTCCCTGGAATAAGTCAAGTTTCCACTAAAACTAGTAAAGGTATTTAGGAAGAATCATTAAGCCTTGTTGGTGGTAGAAAAATGTGGTTTCCTCTCCTATTAAAAACCCTTTTATTTTGGTTTAGTCCTTCATGTTCTTTCAATCTTAAAGGTGCTGTGAGTGAAATCGGCATTTTGGCTATCTTTCTGTCCGTTCCTGTTAGCAGTCCCCTCCCTCCTCCCCAAGTTACCATACTGAATTTCTTAAGGAGTGCCTCTTTGTGGAGTTCTCTCTCCTGACTGGATAAAGTAGAAACGAGATACCAGAATATTTATCCGGTTTTACAGCAAAAAGGAGGGACTTGGAGACCTATGTTACTCTATATCCGTCACTATATCAGTGATGGCTGTCACAATGTATAGCTATTTAACACTTACTTTAACCTAGAAATATCACTTACATCCATGGGCCCATCAATGCAGAGCAATAATGAGTCAATTAATCAATCAACAGCTACATATCTTTTATACACGTGATATTGTAAGATAAAATGAGACACTTTTTGCCTCGCCCCACCACACACACACAATCACTAGCAGTTTGGCAGGGCTGAAGGGTGGGTGTGACCCCACAGACTGTAATCTGGAAGAGGATGCCTGCGAATCAAAGTTCATCGTTTTGTCCCCAGCGTGATGTACAGCATTTAACAGCAGGTCGCTCCACACACCTACACATGCACACACACGCACACATACACACGCACACACACTAAACTTTGAGGGTTTGAAGAAGAGCACCGACAAACAACGTAGGTATGATAATAAACACATTTAACACAAACTGAGGATAGCTTTTTGAGGCTCTCTCTTTGTGTTTTGCTTTAGTGCATTACTTTCTCTCCTCTCACCTTGTATCTGTAAACATTTGTCTACCGGATAGAACAAAATAAGATTCTGTTCTTCGTATGACCTTTGAAAGGAAGCTGAAAGAGATAGGCTCGGGGAGGGGGGGTGAGGATAAAAAGAGCAATAGATTGTGAGATGAGCCCTGACATGGAGGCTGATGCTGAGAAGAGGCGCTCCAGGGCAAACAGAGAAGATGACACAGCCGGGGAAGGAAAAAGTGCCAGCTTTTACCCAAGCACTGCTGCTCTCTATCAATCTCAAACCTTTTTTCCTCCTCCACAAGTGGCATTGACGACCTCGGAGAAGTACATTTCATGTCAGTGTGGTTGTGTCAAGTCACTGTCTGGTTCTATGGACATCTGTTGAATTCTCTCTCTATATTGTCTGTCCATCTGCCAGCCTTTCTATCTCCACATTCCTGTCAGCTGCTCACATCATTTTCTATGATGACCTTGAAAATGACTAAGTTGGCGCTGATGCCCTGCATCTTGCATCACACGGTTGTTAGTATTGTGTTCATTTTCTTTTATTAAAGCTCCATTTTTATCATTATTTGGCTACTGTAGGCCCCTTCTCATGCTTGATAGTCCTGAAAGGGGATCCATCTGAAGCTCCTGCAGAACTTTTGAAACTCTCAAAAGTGACCATAAATAATGATGGATGCGCTGATGGTCCAGTGTGTAACATTTAGGAGGATCTTTTGGCAGCAATGGAATATAATATTCA